TATTGTTGCGTGAAGTGTGTTTGTCCGGATCTGTGTACAGAGTAGGCAACAGGCTGAATGCTGTTGTTTGTCTAAAGTATTTTCTAATTGGTCATCCTGTGGGTCCTGTCCCTGTTTCCAAACTGTTGTGTGTGCTTAGAACCACAGTGAAAATGTGGAACATACAGCCTGTCACTTACAAATGCCCCTCAGAGGAAGGTGTCCCGTCTGGGGTTGAGGAAACTCCTGCTCCCCAATTCTGTAACCTTCAGGCCCCTCTTCCTGACCAATCATACTTTAGTTATTCAGGCAATCAAGTTTCCTCACTTTGCCGTGGGATTCCTACTGTGGAGATGCTTCCTTCTCCCTCCTGGTCCAGGAACAGTGAAGGTGTCACCACCTCCTGGAAGACATCTGCACTGTCCTTTCAAAGGCCCCTCTCCCTGCTCTTCCGGCCTGACGGAGGAGTTACTGTATCCTGTGATCTTTTCAGTTCCTTTTGAATTCAAGCCCCCAAGTGGGCATTCCATTAGCAGATGTGTTGCCTTGAGGGTTGCCTAGGCGAATGGTTCACTTTCCACCCCATTCTGATCTTGGTTTCCTCTGTAGAGAAGAGGTCTTTTTATGCCAGAAGTCCCTCCCTCTTCAGGTGAGCTGGTCAAAGCAGACTGGATCTGATATGCAGCTGGAATGACTAGAAAAAGCCTTCTGCATGCTAAATGACACACGTCCTCCAAAGTCATGACATTTGTCAGCTACCGTGGCAGCAGCAGGGGTGTGTGTGTGTGTGTGGGGGGGGGGATGACAGTAAGAGGCAACACCCAAGTTCCCTGAGAAGTAAAACCTTCAGTTACCCCCAGAACAGACATGGATGGATGTTCCTCTATAGTAACTTGTTCTTTCTCTCACTCGGCTTTAACCTCCCAACCCCCAAGGACCGAAAAGTTGATTTTCATCACTCATCTTTCTTGTTCTTGGACCAGGATGAAAGGCTCCTCTACCACTCTACTGATGTCTAGGACAGGCTTGGTGCCTGCAAGCTGATGCAGGTGCAGAGCTGTCACACAGCAAGATGCCCGTAGGAGTAAACTCGAGACTGCTCAAAACCAGCTGGGACCAGCATGGCCAGAGGTGGCAGCTGACTGTCCCTTGTTATGGCATCTCCATAGTAACACTCTTGCAAAATTCCTATTGTTACCATCCATCTGGCTCCATGATACAGTCCCCAAACTCCATATAAGGACAGAAAAGAGATGTAAACCCTATTCTAGGAATCCCTCCCCTGCCAGCCATGACTTTTAATCTTCCCTATATTATAGGGTGCCTGGTTAGTTTCCAGGTTCAGCCATCAGACTGGCAGTCCCGATGTTCAGTCATCAGACTTGCACCCCCCTTATTTTTCCTCCCACTCTTGAAATTACTTTGTTTAGCTGGAGTGCAGGGGCCAGGACTGTGAAAAGACACAAAAGGCTTGCTCTCAAGCTGGGTGTAGGAGCATTGAGAAGTGGGGACTGGAAGATCAACAGTTCAGAACTAATCTGGGCTACTACATGGCGAATTTGAGGCCAATCTGGGCTTCAGAGGATTGAGAGATGAAGAGACCTTCCCAAGGCCAAACAGCTTTTTAGGAGTAGGAAATTAACGCTGTGTAGGTTTTAATTAATTAACTTAGGAGTGCTGGGGATTAGATCCAGGGTGTGGGACATGCTAGTCAAGAACTCTACAGCTGGTGGCAAGTGATGGTTCGGCTGGCAAAAGCCCTTGTTTGGTTGGATCCTAGAAGACATGATGGAAGGAGACAATACACGCCACTACGTTGACCTCTGACCTCCACAAATTCACTGTGGCACATGTGCATCCTAACAATAGACAATGCAATAAAAATTTAAGAAGCTCTACAAACTGGGCTGTATCCCATCTCTCTATAGATTTCAATATTTATGTAGAGACAAGATCCCCTTATGCAGTTCAGGTTGGCCTGGAACTCAAGATATTCTTGCCTCAGGCTCTCAAGTGTCAGGATTACAGACATACATCACCACGTCAGCCCTCTCAAGGTTTTAAAAAGCAAGCTGAAAGGCTGGGGTGATAGCTCAGTGGTAAGAGTTTGCCTGTTGGGCTGGAGAGATGGCTCAGGGGTTAAGAGCACGGGCTGCTCTTCCAGAGGTCCTGAGCTCAATTCCAGCAACCACATGGTGGCTCACAACCATCTATAATGAGATCTGGTGCCCTCTTCTGGCATGCAGGCATACATACAGGCAGAACACTGTATACATAATAAGTAAATAAATTAAAAAAAAAAAAAGAGTTTGCCTGTTATGGTTAAAGACCTAGGTTCAGTCTCTAGTACCAATGGGAAATGGGGGGGGAACCCAGGAAACTGAATGCCATTACTGTGTTTATATGAAATAATCCATAATTAATATAATCACTATAATATAATAAATCAATAAATAACATAATAATTACTATTAACAATATAATTAGTTCATAAAATTAAAGAAAAGATGGGCTCAAAAAACACATGTATACAGACCAAACAGCATCCATAATGGATTCCTACCTGAGCACATCCAAATGTCTAAAAAGATGGTCTTGTGGTTATTTGTTATTAACTGGAGAAATAATTGGATTTCCTCTTAAGGTTCAAAGTGAGCACATCATGGTGGTGCACACCTGCAATCCCACCACTCCAGAGGCTGAGGCAGGAGGATTGTGACTGTGAGAACTGCTTGGGTTACATAGACAGTTCCAGGCTAGCCTGGGCTACAGGTCCTATGTCACACACACACACACACACACACACACACACACACACACACACACACACGAGAGAGAGAGAGAGAGAGAGAGAGACAGAGGAGAGAGAGAGGAGAGAAGAGAATTCTTCCAAACACATTGTGCTGACATAGCATCCCAAAGATGCCAGAATCTCAGGATGCGGGCCTCAGTTTCTGGATTAGTAGCCACTTGGAGAGAAAGCTGTAACTTTGGTTCACGTGACCCTTCTCCACTTCTCCCTTCCCATGTCTACAACAGAAAAGAATTCCCTGTGGTCAGGGTCAGACTATGTTATTACTCTCTAGTGTGGGTTTAGATAACCCACAATATAAAAGAGAAATCACTCCTTTTGGGTGTGTGCTGGCATTCCTTTGAAAACAGTCCTTGGTAAGGCTGCCTCCCCTCCTTTCGCTTGGCACTTTCAAGTTTTAAAACCACACTTGAGTGATTAAGATGCTCAGTGCTACAGAATCTTTAGACTTATGGTCTCCAAACCATATGAAGACAGTCAGCTAACACCAGAATGTACTCTTTAGTTTTTTTTTTTTTTTTTTTTGAGTTCTGTGCATTAGTAACACAGCGTGTAAGGTTCTGTGGGGTGTAATTTCCAGAGAAGTAATCTGTGCAATGGACTATAGAACCAGCGCTGAGGGTCAAGGTCCACGGCATATGCTGGCCAGAGAAGAGAAGGATGGGCATGACCTGGATAACGCAATCATTCAGCCTAGAGTTCCTGACTCCCTCCTTCCCTTCTCCATAAAAGCCCTTTGTGCTCAAGTTCCTACTTTGAGGATAATAGTGTCTATATCTTCTCTAGTCTAGCTGGCTCTTTAACAAAAACTGATTTCATTGTCCTCCCTGTCCTCTGTGTGTGTGTGTGTGTGTGTGTGTGTGTGCGTGTGCGCGTGCGTGTGTGTGTGTGTGTGTGTGTGCGCGTGCGTGCATGTGTGTGTGTGTGTGTGTGTGTGTGTGTGTGTGTGTGTAGTGAGAATATTCAGGCTATTGTTGCTTTGGCACAATTATATTTAATATGTAAATATATAGGTATGCCTATTCTACCAATAGGTATACATTCTACCAATGAGCTGGACTTGGTCTGATGACTCAGTTGGTCAATTTTTATTCTAGAATCTTACTATTTCCCATCAGGAATGAAGTATGAAGGACACATGAGTTACTGGTCTCAGGTTCTGTCTCTTAACACCCACTACCCTACCTCTCCCCCACCTCTGCAACCTATACACACAGAGAGTGAAGTCTTATACATACTATCTTGAATGTAGGAAGATTTGTAATTTGTAACTAAGACAGTTGGAAGATACACTACATGGCTTTCGATGCTAGAGCAGAACATGCAATGCAAATTCTAGCAGTCCTGTGGTCCTGAGGTCATCATGCTGTTAGAAAGCCCAGGTCGGCCTGTGAGAAAGATCATGTGGGGAAGCCCTGAGTCTACAAAGTGAGACTAGATCAGCTCCCAGATGTTCCAGCTCCCATTGACTGTAAGACCAAAAGAGACCCTGAACCAGGACTACCCAGCCAAAGCCCTCCCCAAATTCCTGGTTCTCAGTCACTAATAAAATGTTTGCTGTTGGGGTGGGAGGAGGGGGGTGGTATCTGTGGATAGCATGTGGAGTGAGCAGAAAATTTTTTAATTAAAAAAAATTTTTTTTTCCTCTGTTAATCCCAGCACTCGGGAGGCAGAGGCAGGCGGATCTTTGTGAGTTCGAGGCCAGCCTGGTTTATAGAGCGAGATCCAGGAAAGGCACAAAGGTACACAGAGAAACCCTGTCTCGAAAAAAAACAAAAAAATGTTCACTGTTGTTTCACATTGCCAAGTTTGAGGCTGAATTGTTACATAGAAATACACACCTTGGGGCTGGAGAGATGGCTCAGAGGTTAAGAGCACTGACTGTTCTTCCAGAGGTCCTGAGTTCAATTCCCAGCAACCACATGGTGGCTCACAACCACCTGTAATGAGATCTGGTGCCCTCTACTGGCATGCAGTGCAGGCATGCAGACAGAACACTGTATGTATAATAAATATATATATATATATATATATATATATATATATATATATATATATATATATATATATATATATATAGTAGAGATGTAGTCCAAACCTAGTTGCTATGATGGGGCAAGGCAGTGCATGGGTTCTTCCATCATTTTTTTTTTAAATTTAAGATTTATTTATTATGTATACAGTGTTCTGCCTGCATGTATGCCTGCAGGCCTGAAGAGGGCACCAGATCTCATTACAGGTGGTTGTGAGCCACCATGTGGTTGCTGGGAATTGAACTCAGGACCTCTGGAAGAGCAGTCAGTGCTCATAACCACTGAGCCATCTCTCCAGTCCCCCACCCCCCATCTTTCATTTTTGCTGAGAATTTGATCTCCTGGGTGGAGAATTCCATGGAAAAGTCAAACTGCCCCAACTAGCTTATCTTAGCTTCTGTTAAACTGCCTGCTTGTACAGACCGTCCCCCCTACCACCAACTACTTAACTTTTGTTGAACTGCTTTGTTTGTGTAAAACTTCTCCCTATAGTTGCCAAGCAACTATACCAGGATATGGCTTTTGCCTTTAAAAACCCCTTATCATAAACACTTGGTTTTACACTTGGGTCCTGAATACCAGAGTGTAGTTTTAGCCATGCAGAATAAAGACTTTCAATTGACTGTAAACTGTGTTTGAGTGGTCATCTTTGGTGGGCTCCCTGTAACATTTTTTGGAAGCCCCAGTGAGATGTCCCAGAGACTGGACCCAGACACTTAGGGGCCTCAGGACCCCCAGAAGCAGGGAAGAGTGTTCCAGTTGGAGACGACTTCTTGGACAGCCCTGAGACTATATTCTCTGACTGACAGCTGTTAGCTGCCAAGCGCTCTACAGATTACCTGATGCTGCCACCCAAAAGAAGGTAAATCCAAAGTCATCTGGTCTGAACACCTCAGGAGGTAAGTTTGGTCTATAGGAGGTACCATCTGATTAGGACACAAGAGGGGAGATTGGATGTGACCAAAGATCCAGTGTTCAGGATCCATGTGATACATCACTGGAATCCCCAGGTCTGTTTGAGTGTCCGAATGTGTGGTAACCACCCCTGGTTGTATTTATTATGTGTCTTTCTGTATGACTATGTCTCCCTGTGTGTCTCTTGGTGGGTGTCTATCAGTTTTATTGGTTGGGAAAACATCCAAAATGGAAGGAGGAGTGAGCCCTTCTGAGACTGCAGCTGCCATTGACCCCCAAATAGTGCACTATTTCCTGCAGGCTATGACGATCCGGCCACTTGCACTGTAACACCTGTAGAGGGCAAGAGGTCCTTGTGCACACTGATAAACACTGGGGACACCAGGAAAAATTAAACATGCAAGCTAGTCTCCTCAAGGGAAGGAAATATGTACCTGTCTTCCACTGGGAATGCTGGGAATAGATGTAGTTTACGATCTGGTGATCTTTTGCTATCTGAGGGGCCAGGCCTCACATTCAAATCATCCTTAGGAGAAATGTCACTTGTAATTTACAACCTAGTTAACTTTTGTGTTATCTCAGGGCCAGGCCAATCCTGACTCTCACAGGCATTATGTTTACCTCAGTCATTCTCCCTACGCCCTTATCCTGAGGATTGTTTCTAAGTCAACAGAACCCATCTTTATGGACATGCCATATGTACTTTGTAAAGAATCTTAAGAGTAAATACGTCTTAAGCTTTGCTGTACACACGGGATTGAGTTAACTGTCATCAGGAAACTCTTTTTCCCCCCCCCCAAAATTGTGTTGTGCTTAAATTTGTCTAAAATAAACCACCTGGTGTCAGGTTCTGGAAGTGTGAACCAGCACCAGCTAACTAAGTCATGCTCAGCTGGATCTCTTTCTTGCCTCTTGTGGATGTTGCTCGGTCAGCTGTAGCATTTGTAGAGACTCCCACAGACACCCCCCTTCTGTGGGGGCTGCCTACCAGAGTTGCTACAGAGGTGCCTGCAGCTTCCTGAGCTACAGTGGTGGCCACCATTTTCCCTGAAATAACCGACAGCTTTCTCTGGGGCAAGTCCCTCCCCCCTTGGCTTAAGACCTGTGCCCTATTGTCGAGGACTCTCTTTTTGGCCCAGCCAGGTTGCCCAGAGAAACCTAAAACCAACAAACCCCACTCCTATCCCCCCACCCCGCCCCCTTCCCCATCACTGTCACAGAACTCCTCCTTGTGGTCTCAGGTCCAGGTCCTGTTTCCTATGTGGAGGTGGGGAGGGGCCGGGCCTTTCCTCCAGGGGCTCCCTGCCTTCTCAGGAGAGTGCGCACAGGGCGGAGGACATAGTTCCTGGAGCTGCACACTCCCTTTGCCCTTCCTGGGCCTGCTCTAAGCCCCTGGCTGTGCCTCAGGAAGGAGAAAGTAGTTCCTCCAGGGGCAGCCCTGCCGGTGGGGTGGGGCAGTGGTTCAACTTCTTCCCTGTTCATGGTTTATGTCCCCTTCTCTACCAGTGACATACATAATTGGAAGACCCTCAAGTCCTCCGTTTTCAGAGAAGCCACAGCTTATCAGCCTGTTGGAAACTCTTTTAAGGCCAGAGAACATGGGATGATCTTTGACTAGACATGATTAGGAGGATTACCAGCTTATCCAAGGTAAGTCCAGCTACCCCAGGACCTGATGAATTGTGTACTGGGTTTCTGGAAAGGCTGCAGGAAACATGTCGGGTATTTACTCTCCTAGACCAAGATGCCTCCAAAGACCAAGAAGCCAATATTACTGCCTTTGTCACACAGTTGGCCCCAGACATAAGGTGAAAGCTCCAGAAATTAGAGGGATTTGAAGGGGATGAATAGGTCTCAACTTCTGGAAATTGCTGAGAAAGTTCACAATAGCCAAGATTCAGCGGGAGACAGACGGGGACACTCTCCGTGTGGTGATCTCTGCACTTAGAGTAACAGACAAGAGTGAAACAGACCAAGACAAAGGGGTAAAAACCTCACCAGCATTGTTTAATAAAGCCCCGAGTCCAGATCTGTTGGAATTTAGACAAAAATATCCATAAAGCACCCTGCTCCAGTATGTAGATGACTTATTCATAGCTACAGCCACTAAGGAGGAGTGTGTGTGTGTGTGTGTGTGTGTGTGTGTGTGTGTGTGTGTTTGTGGTGTGTGGGGTATATGTGAGTGTGGCATGTGTGTGTGGAGTATGTGGTGTGTGTGTGTGTGTGTGTGTGTGTGTGTGTGTGTGTGTGTGTGCATGTGTGTGTGGTGTGTGGGGTATGTGTGAGTGTGGCGTGTGTGTGTGGAGTATTGTGTGGAGTATGTAATGTTTGTGCGTCTGTGATGTGTTTGGTATGTGTGTATGTATATGTGGTGTGTGTGGCATGTGTGGTATGTGTATGTAATGTGTGTGTGTGTCTGTGGTGTTTGGTATATGTGTGTGTATGCATGTATATATGTATGGTGTGTGGTATTATGTGGTGTGTTATGGGTGTGATATGTGTATGTCTGTGTGTGGTATGTGTGCTTGTATGAGTGTGTGTGGTTTGTGTATGTATGTGTGTGGTATGTGTATGAATGTGGTGTGTGTGCATGTGTGTGTGTGGTGTGTTGGGTACATGTGTTCCCATTGGATATACAGTTAAACAGCTTGTTTCAGGATTTATGGTTGCCTTGGAATTTGAGAAGACAGGCCAAGTTATTTTTCTCAACGATGGGCTCAGGAGGGAGAGCATCCACAGTCTCTGCCCTCTTCCCTGTGTCTTCACCTTGTTAGTCAGATTCCATCCTAGTGACAGCCCCACCCCGTGCTGTATCTGTCCCAGCAGTCCAGGCAGAAGGGACATTTCCTCTCAATTGTCCCCTCTCCCTGCTGCCTGATGCAATCATTGCCTGGCTGGTTGGAAAGATACCACACTCACTTTCAACACCCACATGAGGTCATCTCTTTGGCCCTGGCCTGGAGGCTGCATCACACAGACATTGATTTGAATATTTGCACTAGCTGCTTCACGTCAGCTGGGTGATGCCAGGTGCTCAGGCTCCGTGTTCTCGTTCATACGGTGGGGCATGCCGAAAGTGCTACCCTGATGGAGGCGTGAGGGTTACACGGGCACTCTCTGTGAAAGCTCTTTTGTGCGAGGCTTAGAGAGGAGAGGTTAATACTACTGTAAGTAGCTATAGTTGGTAACTATTCTTGAACAGGCCAAGACTAGCCCTCAATTCCCAAGCTTCATATGAATCCATAATCCCGACAGATATATACATAAGGGATCTAATATTCTTTCTTTTCTCTCTCTCCCTCTCCCTTTCTCTTTCTTTCCTTCCCTCTCTTCCTCCTCCTTTTCTGTGATGCTGAGCTCCAAAAGCCTTGCACCTGCCAGGCAAATGAGTCACAGCCCCTAACCATAGAGACTCCGAAGCTCACACATGTGTAAAAAAACTCAGTATTAGCAGCTAAAATACATCAGGGCCCCGCTGCAAAAGGCGTTGGCTTCCACCTAACGGAGCTTTCTTCAGTAAGGTGGAATGCAACTGGACCTGGATGGGTGGCAGTTGTGACAGACAGTCTCCTCACAACTCACTCCACTCCTCTGACTCCAAGGGTTGGTACTTTTCCTCCCTCTACCTCGGCTGGGCCTCCACATCACCACCGTGACAGCTGCTGCCACATTCCATGGTTCCAGCAGCGGAATTAAGGCAGGCTGAGGTCTTTTCTGGGTGAGTGACAGTGTTTGAGATGAAGCCAATGCCAGTGTTGGGGACAACAGTCTCCTCTTGAGTCACCTCTGTCTCATGACACACAACTAAGCCTGTTGACCCCTGGCCTGTGTCATAGTGCGTCAGCCTTGGGCTGTCGGATGGCAGCGGGCTCTCGTAACCTGGTAGCAATAATTGAGCCAGCCTGCCCCTGGGCACCGCCACCATGTGTCCTCGACTTTGGGGCTTAGCCTGGCATGTGTATGTCTTTGCATAGGTCGTTCTGTTTCTCTGGCCCCTGGTGGAGGATGAGGGTTACTCCAGCTTCCCCACGGATGTGGCAGGGCTTTTCCTCAGCCACCACATGACAGGGATGGGGAAGGAGGACCCTCCCCTGCCCCCCCTCCCCCACAAGAACAGCATTCCAGGAAACCGGAAGGGCTGGGCAGGCCTCTGGGATTTCAAAGTTGACAGCTTGGCCCAGCTGGCAGGTTCCATTCCGCTGTGTCATTTTCTCTGAGCTATAGCACACTTTTGCAGGAAACTCACCACCCTGATTTCACAGATTTTAAGACTCACCCTCTGCCTTACTAGGAAAGAACCTTTTATTATTATTATTATATTTATTTATTTATCTGTGTGTCTAAATGTTTTGTCTGCGTGTATGTGTGTGCACCATGCGCATGCCTGATGCCCACAGAGGTCGGCAGAGGGCATTGGATCTCCTGCAGTTACGGAGGTTCTAAGCCATGATGTGGGTGCTGGGAACCTAACCCAGGTCCTCTGCAAAAGCAACGAATAAATGCTCTTAACTGCTGAACCACCTCTCCCGCCTCCTCGGAAAGTATCTTTAAGGTGAACAGCTCATTTCTTTGTTTCCTTCAGCCCTGTTCTGCTCACTGGAATACTTCCGCTCCGGGGAATGAAGCTTTCCCTGACTGTACAATTGAAACTAAAGTCAAATAAAATTTTTAAATTGAATGGCAATTTTCTCACCTGACAAGTTGTTTCCAGTGTTTGGGACGCTGGAACACCGTGGATACTGCCTGTGTCCTGGCACAGGAGAAAACCATTTTCTAGGGAGTTTCTGGATGGAAGGTTGTGAGTTTCTTCACAATGCCAGAAGATTTTCCCAAGAATGCGTCTATCAAGTTCTACTTCCGGCGGAGGGTTCGGCCGTTCCCGCCACTGTCCCCTTCAGTGCGTCTGCTGCTGGCCTCTTACTGACTGGGAGTAAAGGAATTTCACTGTGGTTTCAACGTGTCTGAATTACTACTGACACGAGTAATTTTCCTTCTTGCTAGTTATTTTTTAAGGGGTGTGTGTGTGTGTGTGTGTGTGTGTGTGTGTGTGTGTGTGGTTTGGTGGGTGTGGGTGTTAGATGCACACGTGTGTGGGTCTGTGCACAACCTGACCTCTACGTACACACCATGGCATGTTTACACGCACACACACACACACACACACACACACACACACACACACACACACACACGCCAACAAACCTCTATGTGACTGGCTGAGGTGGGACATCAGTTTTTCCAGCCTTTGGACTCAGCAGAAACATTGGCTTTTCTTGTGTGTGGAGCCTGGAGCTGGTCAGATTAGAATTACCATTACCTCTCCTTTTTTTTTTTTCCCCAGGCTTTTGGACTCAGAGCCCCACTGTGCACTGGCTCACACGGCTTCCCGAGCTGAAGCTGTCTCAGCCTCTAACTGTGTGAGCCAATTCTTTATAGTTTGTCCTCCTCCCTCGCACCCTCCCTCCCTCCCTCCTCTCTTCTCCTCATGCCCCCGTCCTTTCTTTTTTTTTTGGTTTTTCAAGACAGGGTTTCTCTGTGTAGCTTTGGAGCCTTTCCTGGAACTCACTCTGTAGCCCAGGCTGGCCTCGAACTCACAGAGATCCACCTGGCTCTGCCTCCCAAGTGCTGGGATTAAAGGCGTGCGCCACCACCGCCCGGCCCCGTCCTTTCTTATCTTCTATCTGTTTCTGCTTCTCTGGAGAATCTGGAGTTCTACAAAGGTCCCATCTAACTTCCTTCCCTCCTTCCTTCCTTTCTGTCCTCCCTCCGGTCTTTGTCAAAGCAGCCGCTCCCGACCAGGACCCCTGGTGTGATGCCGCCCCCTTCCCCTCTGCTCTGCAGAGCAGATTCTTAAGGCTGGCCACTGCCCTGTCCTTGTGCCCACACATCTTATTATCACAGGATGATTTAAGTCTTGATGCATGATCTTGTCATTTCAGAGTACCTTGAGCTGGGCATGGTAGTTCACTCTTTAACCCCAAAACGCAGGAGGTAGAGGCAGGGAGTAGGGGCAGGGGCAGGGAGCAGGGAGCAGGGAGCAGGGGCAGGGGGCAGGGAGCAGGGGCAGGGAGCAGGGAGTAGGGGCAGAGGGCAGGGAGTAGGGGCAGAGGGCAAGGAGTAGGGAGCAGGGGCAGGGGGCAGGGGAAGAGGGCAGAGGCAGGGGCAGGGGGCAGGGGCAGGGGGCAGTGCAGAGGCAAAGGGCAGAGGTAGGCAGAGCTCTGTGAGTTCAAGGCCAGTCCAGTCTATATAAGGAAACCCTGTCTCAAAAACAAAACAAAACAAAAAACCCCCCAAAACCCAAAACAACAACAACAACAAAAAACAAGAAGTACTTTGGCTATATTCAGCAAAACTAAACAACAAAAGATAATTAGGCTTTTAATTGAGATCACACTGAACTTATAGGTAAATCTTAGGAAAGCTGACATGTTCATGATTTTGGGTGTTGCAATTTGGATCTGGAGTGTCACAGTCTCTGTGAGCTTAAGTTCCTGGAGGAAGCTGTACCTACATTGACAGTCGCAAAGGCTGACGCGAACTCCAGTGACTGGACAGAGAGGTTGGAATGTTGACAATCCGGAGCCAAATACCTTGAGCTACCTATCTTACATAGACCCTTAATTAACCGTTTATTGCCAGTCTGTGGGTGACCTAACATCCTGTCACTATTAGGTAAATTCTTTGGAATGTAAGAACAGACCCGGGCTTCCACCAGTCCCCGAAGTGAACAGTGTCATCAGATGGCACTGGAGTCTGTGGCAGAGGCTGCTCCGTGAAATGTCCACTTGAGGTGCCCACCGGTGTTCCTTAGAAGTGTTTGGCTTTCTTTGTTCTGTCACTACAAAACTCCAGGAACCTGTTACTGCATTTGAACGTGATGTTGGGGGTGACCTAAATAGGTGTTCCCAGACATGGTCACTCGGGTGTGGCTCCAGAATAAACTGTTTTTTCCTTTTTCTGAGATGAGAGCTAAGCTTTTTTTCTCTCTCCATCTCAGAGTTAAAGGCAGACTGTGGTGAAATTGGGAGGTGGGATCGAGTGGGGGACATTAGGTCCCTGGGGTGCCCTTGAAGGGACAGCAAGACTCCAGTCCCTTCCTTTATCTCCTTATTTCCTAGCTGCCATGTGTGAATGGATTTGCTCCGGCATGTGCTTCCCATGGTTATTTTCTTTCTTACCACATTCTCCCAAATTTGGAGCCTAATGACCTTGGACTGAAATCTCCAAAACTCATAATCAAAATAAATCTTAAATTTTTTTTTTTTTAGATTTATTTGTTTCATTTCATATGTAGGAGTGTTTTGTCTGCATGTATGTCTGTGTATCACGTGTGTACTTGGTGCCTGTGAGGGCCAGGAGAAGGTGTCAGATACTCTGGAACTGGAGTTAGAGGTGGCTGTGAGCTGCCGTGTGGGTGCTGGTGATTGAACCCAGGTCCTGTGGAACAGCAGTAAGTGCTCTTAACCGCACTTCGAGAGAGAGTCTCATAGCCCAGGCTGGCCTCAAACTCACCAACTAACCATGATGACCCTGAGTTTCTAATCCTCTTGCCTCTATGTGCTGGGATTATAGGTGTGTGCCATTACACTTGCTTTATGATATTCTCTAAAAGAAGTCTTTATAAGGGCTTATTACAGTTGAGGTCCTATATCAGTTTATAACTTCATCTATGATTTATATATATATATTATATATATATTATATATATATATAATTATTTAATGTAAATATAATGTGTAATTAGTTTATTGATTGTGCATTGATCAGATTTTCTAATTTATTTATTTATTTATTTATTTGAGATAAGGTTTCTCTTTGTCCTGGAACTCACTCTGTAGACCAGGCTAGCCTCAAACTCAGAAATCCACCCGCCTCTGCCTCCCTAGTGCTGGGATTAAAGGAGTGTGCCACTATGTCCAGCTTTTTTCTTTTTAAATTAAATTAATTAATTAGATACAGGGTGTTACTATGTAGCCTAGTTGGCTCGGAACTGGCTGTGTGGACTAGGCTATCCTTGAACTCATAGAGGTCTGCCTGCCTCTACCTCCTGAGTACTGGTTTTGAAGTTGTGTACCACCCTGAATGCCTAATTCTAAACATCTTTAATGAATTTTTCTAATTTATTTGTGTATTCCTTGACATTCACATGTACTCATGGTTAGAGGCTAGCCTGGGCTATACAGCAAGACCCTGTGCTAAAAAAAACAACACAACACAACCTTCTAATATATGTGCGGTTTTTGACATCCTCTCAGCCTCTCTTTATTTTATTTTTTAAAGACTTATTTTGTTTTTAATTGTGTGTGTGTGTGTGTGTGTGTGTGTGTGTGTGTGTGTGTGTGTGTTTGTGTGAGGGTGCGTACACATGAGTTCAGAGACCCTCAGAGGTCGGAAGTGTTAGAGTCTCTATAGCTGAAGCTGCAGAAGGTTGTGAGCCCCAGAGTGGGGGCTGGGGACCACCTCTGCAGTCCCATTCTCCTTTGTTTTACTAAAGGATGAAAGACAGTTTTGGACTTTCCATTTTGATTAAACTCATCGTTGGCTATAATCTGTTTTGTTTGTTTGTTTATGAGGTGCTGGGCATTAAGTCCAAGGTTTCACACATAAGGACAAAGCTTTCTACCTCTCAACTCCATCCTTTACTTCTTCATAGTTCAGTTCATCTCATTCCTCCTCCTTCCTCCATCCCTCCCTTCTACAATTCTTCTGGAAGGAGGGTTACTGGGGGTTGAACCCTGGGCTTCGCACATGCCAAATACACTTCCGTCTGAGTTAACAACACTGTGGTGATATATTATGTATCCCAGTAAAGCTTACCTGGGGATCAGAGGACAGAGCCAGCCACTAAATTAGACATAGAGGTCAGGCAGTGGTGGCACACACTTTTAATCCTATCACTCGGGAGTCAGAGATCCCTCTGGATCTCTGTGAGTTCAAGGCCACACTTGGGCTACATGAGAGAAACAGAACCAGGCAGTGGTGATACACGCCTTTAATCCCAGGAAGTAATATGGCAGGACACAGAAAGGTATATAAGGCACAAGGAAACAGGAACTTGCTCTCTTGAGGCTGAGGATTTCGTAGAGGTAAGAACTTGTGGCTGGTTTGATCTGCTTCTCTGATCTTTCAGCTTTTACCCCAATATCTGGCTCTGGGTTTTTTATTATAAGATCTAAGATTCATGTTACAGAACACAATTTCTTATTTCTATGGAATACCCTAACATTGCATGACTAAAACCTAGACCTATGTGAATTATATTGAGGATATGGCCTGAATTTCTTCATGAGTTCTCTTGTTTTATTTTACATTCTACTCAGTCATACATTGTGATGTTTATACAACTGTTTATCATAGAGTACTGACTCAAATTATGCTATCATGGTCAGCTGTCAGAACAGAACATGGTCCAAGAATGGAGTCATGTGAGATTTCTGAGTGCTTGTAAAAAAAAACTCCCAAGAAACCAAGACAAGTCTTGTGACTTTGGTTTCTTTGAAAACATGGAATTGTTCTTGGATTATGCTTTTGTGCCCCTCCTAGGTGGATCGGATAGGACTGAATTTACTTCAGAGTGTTCCTTACAACTGGCTATTGTTATTTGTTTATATGTCTCTATGGAAAAACATGTTCCGTTGTGTGCAGTCCCCTGCTATGTGTGGCTTGCCCATGTGGCTGGACACT